CTTCCAATGTGGGAAGGAAGGTCACCGGGCTGCGGACTGCAGGGCCAAGTTGGATCCAAAGGGGGTGCCAAAAAGAAGGAGGAAGCCTGAAACCCCACCAGCGAAGCCTTGCAAAACCACGCTTAAGACGAGGGAAGTTGTAGAGGTCGACCCTCCAGAAAGAGAGGAGCTGGGACCTCCGACCTCCTCTGAAGAGAGTGAATCTGACTCAGAAGACGACTTCCTGGTAAGTCCAAACAAGGGCCCTATGACCATCCCAGTGAAATTGAGGGTACCCACCTCAGTGGCTGAAGGGGAGATGCTAGCCTTGCTAGACTCTGGGTGCACGAGGTGTGTAATCAACACAAAAGTAGTAGAGGAAATGGGTTTAAGACTAAAACCTTTAAAAACGCCCATAGCCTTTTGTCAATTAGATGGATCAGTGGCGGGGGGCTGCCCTGCATGTTTCATAATGGAACCCCTAGAAATGACCATGGGAGAGCATAAAGAAACCCTGTGTTTTATTGTGGCCCCTGGGATGGAGCAACCGCTAATATTGGGATTACCATGGCTCTGGAAGTGGAACCCCCACATTAACTGGAGGAAGGGGTCATTGCGCATACGTACCAATCAGTGACCAGAAAGGGAAGAGCGATCTCAGCCGAAGCTTCAGAATCTGGTTGAGTTAGCCTCCACAGGTACCGAGAACTTGGAGGGGGAGGAGAAAATTCCGAAGGAATATTGGGATTTAAAGGAAGTGTTCAGTGAAAAGGCCTCAGATGAGCTCCCCCCACATCGGTCAACAGATTGTAGTATTGAAATTTTACCTGGGGTGAAGCTCCTGAAACCGAAGCTATATTCGATGACACCACGGGAATTAGAAGAGCTGAGATCATTTATCGATAAAAATTTGGAACGTGGTTTCATCCAACCCACTAGACCCTGGGTAGCGGCCCCAGTGCTGTTCCATGAAAAGAAAAATGGCTCCAAGCGCTTAGTAGTTGACTATAGAAACCTGAATGCAATTTCCGTGGAAAACGTGTATCCTTTTCCCCTGATGAAGGACATGCTGGCCCACCTGGCAAAGGGAAAATTTTTCAGGAAGCTGGACTTGAGAGAAGCGTACTACCGAATTTGAATTAAGGAAGGAGATGAGTGGAAAACTGCTTTTAACTGCCCGATAGGTTGTTTCCAGTTCAACGTTCTCCCATTTGGCCTACAGGGGGCTCCAGCCGTATTCATGCAGATGATCAATCAGGTGTTACATGAACATTTATACAAGGGAGTTTTGGTTTACCTTGGTGACATCCTTATCTACACGGAAACTTGGGATGAAAATGTGAAACTAGTGCGGTCAGTCCTACAGAAGCTGTGAGCCGCCAAATTGTATGCTAAGCTGTCCAAATGTGAGTTCCATCAAGAGAAAATTGACTATTTGGGGTATCGCATCTCACATGAGGGCATAGAAATGGATCCAGGGAAGGTGCATGCCGTGTTGGAATGCCCCCCCCCCCACACACACACACCAGAAAACAACTTCAAAGTTTCTTGGGATTCGCCAATTTTTACCGGCAATTTATCCCGGCTTTTGCTAAGATAGCAATGCCTTTCACAAATCTCCTAAAAACTAAAGGGGAGGTGAAGCCAAGGCCTAGCAAACCGCTGGAGTGGTCCATGGAGTGCCAAGCAGCCTTTGAAAAGCTGAAACGACTGTTTGCTGCAGAACCAGTGCTAAAGCACCCGGATATGGATGCTCCTTTCATGATCCAAGCCGATGTGAGCGACATGGCTGTGGGAGCGGTATTACTTCAAATCAATGAGAAAGGAACTTTACAACCCTGTGCCTATACCTCCCGCAAACTATCAGAAACCGAAAGAAGATGGGCCATCTGGGAAAAAGAAGGTTTTGCAGTTCATTGGGCTCTATTGACTTGGAGACATTTCTTGGAAGGAGTGAAACACCCGTTTGAGGTATAGACTGATCATAAGAATTTGGAGGCCTTAAAAACGCCTCAGAAGCTGTCCCCTAAACAAGTTCGCTGGGCCCAGTACTTTAAGCGATTTAACTTCTCATTGAAGTACATCCCAGGGGGGAGGAATTTTATGGAGGATGCTTTATCTAGACTGCCTCAATACAATAGTGTTCGCCAGGAAGTGATGCAGCCAATTATCTCAACCAAACAGCTAGCCACCCCAGTGGTCACTAGAGCTCAAAAGAAGAAACAAGAAGTGGATTTATCAAATGATTTGACTGCACAACTTAAAGAAGCCCTAAAACTTGATGATTGATTCCTGGCTCATTCAAATAACTGTACAGTTAGAGATGGTTTGGCCTGGATGGGAACAAAGTTGTATGTACCAGAGACACGGAGAAGCTAAATATTACAACAAGCTCATGATTCTAAAGCAGCTGGCCATTTTGGATTCATGAAAACCTTACACCTGGTTAAGCAACAATTCTGGTGGCCTACATTGAAGAAGGACATTGAAACTTATGTGGCCAGCTGCTCAATTTGCGCATCAGCAAAGAGACCTCCTGGTAAGCCAGCAGGGCTGTTACAAAATGTGGCTAGACCAACGGCTCCGTGGAAGGAAATCTCTATGGACTTTATAGTGGAATTACCCGAAAGCGCCAGAAACAAGGTGATTTGGGTGGTAACCGATTTGTTTTCCAAACAAGTACACTTCATACCTTGTTCCAAGATTCCCTCTGCAAAAACGTTGGCTAAACTGTTTATACTACATATCTATAGATTACATGGTTTTCCTGAATGTATAATTTCTGTCAGAGAGGTTCAATTTACCTCGAACTTTTGGAGGGAGTTCCTGAAGTTAATAGGCTCCACCCAAGGCTTAAGCTCTGCCCACCATCCCCAAACCAATGGGGCCTGTGAGAGAACTAACGCAGTGTTAGAACAATACCTTAGATATTACATAAACTATCAACAGGATAATTGGGCCGACCTATTGCCTTTCGCCGAAGTGGCATATAACAATTCTGTACACAGTAGTACTGGGTTTACCCCATTTAAAGTGGCATCAGGACAAGATTTTGTGCCCATACCTGAACTTCCTCGTGCAAGGCCTAACATCCAGTCGTTAGACAAATGGATATCTCAACTCCAACTTAATTGGCCAGTCACTTGTAAAGCACTAGATGATGCACACTAGTCTCACAAGAAGTTTGCAGACAAAAAGAGAGCTCTCCAGAAACCGTATCAAGTGGGTGACAGTTTTCTTGTCCACCAGATATCTACAAACCACTCAGAAATCAAAGAAACTTGGTCCTAAATATGTGGGTCCTTTCACGATTGAACGGATTGTAAATCCTGTGACAGTCCAACTGAAATTACCAAAAACTCTTCGACGAATCCACCCGGTTTTCCATGTTAGTTAAAACCTGAACATTCCTCTGGTTTAAGACCGACCCAGCCTGATCCTCCTATACCATTACTGATTGAAGGTGAACAACATTTTGAAGTTAAAGAAATTCTGGTCTCTCGCAAATGGAGAGGTCAGCTCCAATATCTCGTGGCTTGGAAACACTTCCCTTCTTCCCAAGCTGAATGGGTCAATGAAAAAGATGTTAGAGCCCCTAAGCTGATCAAAGCATTTTGTACAAAGTATCCTGATAAACCCTAGAAATGTATCCATTTTATTTACCTGATTATTAACTAGTATCTTTTATGTTTCTTTTTCTTTTCTAGGACTAATGCCTTTTTTCTAGGAGGGCCGAATGTCAGCCTTCAAGATCTTCTACTATTGCTTTGCATCTTTTGGCTGCCATAAGTAATGGGGGGAGGAGGGGGTAGAGTCTGGGAAGCGAGCTGGAGGTGTTACATTCTAGTGTTGTGAAAATGAGGAGGGGGGTAGCATAAATTCCTGTTTAGGTTTCTATTTCTCGCTTAGCTTTCTTTTCTCTGCGCAGCTGCAAACCTTTATCAAAATATGCCAAGGTCAACAGACAGAGGCCTCATCACCACCTGAAGATGTCCACATGATCATATTCACAACTTTTAATTGGAAGAATCATTTGAACTGTTGGGGGTGGGAACATTTCCATCACTTTGTATATGTGATTTGCCGCCTAATTTCTCAGATTCAGAATTCAATGGTTGCTACCACTTCATTTTCAGTAAAAGATATCTTTTCTCTAATCTATGGAGTCTAAATATGTCTTTCTTGAATTTTGAATTTTGAATTTTTTTCATGCAGAGATACATTTTCCATGGAAAGAAATGTCCAGATACTCTTCCCTTGGCTTTCAAACTAAACTAGTACCATTCACAAAAACAGTGCTTTGCCTGCCTTAACCTTTTCTCCAGGTCTGTGCTGTATGGCTATCCAGCTTCTTTGGGATATGTGTATTTCTTCCATGAAAACAAAATTCTTATGCTGCAAGTGATTTTAGAAATTGTTTTGAATCAGTTTCCCATTTCTCTTTGATTTTATCCAGTGGAGAAAAGATATGTAAAACATTAATTATTCTTTTTTGTTCGAAAGCAGTTTTTCTTGCACATTACATCTATGTAAATATCTTCACAACCTTAATGTAATATCTGTAAATATCTTCATAAGCTTAATGTTTTTTTAAAAAACTGTACTCATGCACAACTGCACATGAAACTATGCTTTTTTAAAAATAACTTGAAATGACAGCCAAAGTGGAGAGGAAATTAAAACTCTGGAATCATTAAATCCCTTTGCAGGCTGAATTTATGAAAAATCAAACCACGCTAAACTACTTGAAATTGCAGAATTTCATTTATTATTCTGCCAACTTTTGAACACGACTTCTATTGTAGTTTTACTGGTTGTGAGAATATGTGCTTATGGTAAATAAATATATGACATTTCCAGCTTTGTCTATTTCCTCTCTAGTGAAAACTAATGTCACACAGCATTGATTTTTCTTTGCAAACACTCTTTTATTTCTTTTGTTTGCAAAAACAATGCTATAGTAAGATGCTGTTCAGTTTTTATGTCGTTGACCAGTTTTTTTTACATTGCTTTCTCTCCAGGGACTCCTGTTTGGTTCTTTGTGAAAATTGCTCCGATTCGAAATGAACAGGACAAAGTTGTTTTGTTTCTTTGCACTTTCAGTGACATCACAGCTTTCAAACAGCCTATTGAGGATGACTCATGCAAAGGTTTGCTATTTACCTTCTCTGTTGCATATGCAATATAATTTGCTTTGCATTTCAAAATGGAATAGTTCTCTTTCAAAGATGTTTTGGTTTTAAAAGATCTGTTAAGAATACGAGTGAAGCTAGTGAAGTGAGTACAATCTGACTCTAAAGGTTAAACATTTTTTGAAATACACAGAAAACTGGCCTATACTCTATATGATGATGATGATGATGATGATGATGATGATGATGATGATAATAATAATAATAATAATAATAATAATAATAATAATAATAATAATAACAACAACAACAACAACAACAACAACAACATGTCAAGGCCATGCCAACAAGGCCTCCGACAGTTCTTTCTTTTCTTTCAGATGTTAACAATTGATGGAACCAATGGCAAAGCCATGAAAAATTTCTGATGATATTTCTTGCAGATCAAGGCACTTGCAGCTGTGATCAGCAGGTTCGAAAGCTATCAGCTAAGGCAACATTATCCTTTCAAGTTACATCTCCATGTCTTGGACCTTGAGATTGTTTTTGAGATTGAAGAATTACATTTCCTGGTCATTCCCTAGAACAGATCATATCCCAATCCAATGCACTTCCCTTGTGACTATCTTTGTGTTTCTGTTAGGCTATACAGTCTTTGAAACCTCATATAATGTTCCTTTTTTTCTTGCGTTTTTTGTTTGTAATGTAAACAGGATAAATTGTGAGATTACTGAAAACAACTGAGATCATTAGGTAATTTGCTATGTAGAGTGGAAACTGGGAGAGTTCTAATCCTGTCTTTAGCATTAAAGTCAGCTGAGTGACTTTGGGTCAGTCACTCTTTCTCAGCCCAACTCATTTCACAGAGTTGTTGTTGTGGGGCGGGGGTGGGGGGAAAGGAGGAAGAAGGAGTATTAGGTATATTTACCACCTTGAGTTATTCTTAAAGTAATAAATTCATGAGGGGTCTGCTCTCTGAGCTTGCTTGTTTTCTTGCAGGCTAACGAGATAACATCATCATAGTTAGAGTAAATAAATGTCTGTAAGAAAACAAGCAAACTCAGAAAGCACCAAGGACCCCTCATTTCAACCCTGAACTGCAAATATTCTCCTTTATTAATAAATTCATTTTGTAAATGCAACCCTTCTATTCTGAAAAAAATAGTTTCTAAAAACTATGCCCTCCTCACAGCTCCCGGCAATGAGTAATCCAGGTCAAATTACACAATACTAAAATAGGGCTATCCCCAAATATTTAATCTTGTTTTCTTCTGTCACACTTTGTGAATCGTATGGGGCTTAGATTGGGGTGTGCCCTACCAGTAAGACCTAGGCTACAATCAGTAGGGTTAAGTCTTTCTGTTGCACTTTGATGGAATTATCAGTGGCAGTTAGCATAAATCTGTAATTTCCATACAACATTGTTGTATGCTATATAATGAATGCTATTGTCAAAGTAGAAACTGTTTTTGTTGCATATATAGATCACAAAAGTTAGATGTGATATTTGACAGAAAATGACAGTAACCTATTATTTAGAAATGGCATGAGAAAGCAAAGGATGAAATTAGATTGCCTCCCCCATAAACAATCTGCTTGTTTGTTCTAAGGCATTATCCATTCCAGACATAATAAAAAGTCTAACATTTAAATAAATCATATGTTTCTATTTATAGTTTCTGTTGTTGTTACATAAAACATGAATTGGTTGGCTTTAAAAAGCTACCTGATGCTATTTATTCATTTAAAACATTTATATTGCTGTTCATCTTTCACATAACTCTGAACAGTTCCCAATAAAATAATTTTAAAAGCTCTAAAATAAACTCAATTAAAAGAGTAAGCACAAAAACCTGGTACCAATCCATGCAAACATATCACTGTTTAAACTCCCAACACTTGGGAGATTATATAAGCTAATGAATTCAATCAACTATAAATTGAAGAAATTTACTTTTATATTATTAGCCAAAGAAAATCATGATAAATGAGAAAATATTGGGACATTTCCAGCAAGAATACTGAACTCTAAGAAGATTTGGCAAGACCATGGGAAATTTTGGCACACATTAATTTAAAAAAATAATAATATGGAGAATTACCATACTGTATATACCAAGTAAACTAGAGGTGCCATATTATCGATTCCTGGTTCAGTATCCCACAATTTAGGTTGAGCTGTCTGCTTCATACAAGACAAAAACATGCCCAAATCTCCTCTATAAATACCTTAAGGACATTCTAGAGTATTCCAGGTTTGCTTGAATTGTTTACCGCCATCTATAGTGCCACTTCCTGAAGGCTGAGTGATGAACATAGTTTGCTGAGTGCTGGCAATATTATTGAGCTGAAGATGCAATGGCTGAACCCTAACAACTTAAACACATACTAATTCCAGTATTTGGATTAATGGTTGACTAGTTTAAGATGAATTCCTGTAGTCAGAGCTGGGTTCTGAACTAATCTTTGTCCAAAAGATCAAGTTCAATCTGCATTGAATGGCAGTTCATGAATGGCTGTTTAGTGTTAAGTCTGCTTAGATCAACCACTAAATTTCTAATTAACTACTTAGGGTAAACATGCAGCCATAGTGACACTGCAGAAAAAGATGTTTACTTAAGATATTTTGGTTTAAGGTTGTTTATTGTCTTATTTATAAGTTTGATTTTTAGACATTTTTCCCTCCCTTCAATTATGTGTGATTCCCAGGGAATGCATGGAGTTCAGTTTTCATGACAAGATTTTTCAGAAGTGGTTTGCTATTGCCTCCTTTGTAGGACTGAGAGAAGATGACTGACCCAAGATCACCAGCTGTCTCTGTGTCTAAGATGAGGCCAGAACTCATGATCTCCCAATTTCTAGTCTGATGCCTTAACTACTATACCAAAATGGATATTTTAATTGTATTATTTATTCTTCGTAAACCACCAAGAATCTTTTGGACTATGGCAGGATAGAAATGAATAAACAAACAAATAAATACCCGATTAACATCTAAAATGTCAACATTTTTGGAAAAAAGGGGATTAGGAATATGGTCTTCAAGTGAACCAAGATCCTTCCCTATTGATTAGAATTTTTAAAGGAATTATTGAAAACAGCTATTTCATAGAGTTATGAATGGAAAATCTGGGAATAGATTTTTAATTTTACAAAACAATATGCTACATTTTGATATTGAAGTGTAGCTGAGATTCACACAATGGATTCATATTTACTTTCCATAATTTCAGGCCATCTTTTATCATCAACTACTTTGAACTGCACCTAAAGCATGTTATAATCTGATCTTGAAACTTCAGATTCAAAACCAACTTTTGTATAACATGGATATGAAAGCCTTTTTTTTAAATTAAGGAAAAGATGTCCATTACACTGGATATTTACTGACAAGTCCTGTAAAACCTTGGCAGGATTTACTTCAGAATAAATATGGCCAGGATCAGGCTGCAAAGTGCCCTGAAGTGCATTGAAGAACTGAGTTCCATAGTTGTTTAGAGCCAGGATGCACTCTGTAACATGAACTCATGGACCAAATCACATTTTAATGTCATCTTTCTTGGAATTTTTGCTTTTAATATCGTATCAATTCCATAAAATACATTTGAAAAAGAAGTGTTTTCTTGACATTGGCTTTTCGTGTCATAGAAAAAGTTCATTGCATTTTCATCTTGCCTGGACAATGTGAATAATCAGTCCCTGTCTACTTTCTATGGAAGAGAGATAGCTCTGTCTCTCCTTAGGATTTTTTCCTGGTGTGTTACAATAAGATTAAGTGGATGTAAGCAAGAATTCTGCATTCTAGGATGAAGTGGAACATCCTCAGTTCTAGTTCGATTATAAATGTTTCTGATTCTAGCCTCCCTTTTGAATTTCCTTTATTAATTATTGCTGTTTTACATCCATGATAAAAATGTCTATTTCTGTTCTTCTGCAATATCTCTTATCTGGACCAAACAATGCTTTTCAAGGACTTAGTCAGATGAAAGTACAAAGATACTAGGCTGCCACAGGGGAACGAACTCTTACTTTAAATAGTGTGTTATATTTGCAACCCTCCTAAAAATTAAAGAGCAAAAAGATCCTTTTAAAAATTAAACAGGAATGCCCCCTCCACAGCCACTTTGTGTGTGTGTGTGTGTGTGTGCGTGTGCGCGCGGGTTGTGCATAAATAAAATATTAGTAATAAAATAGATTTATTTTTGCTCTACTCTTTCCAAAACATAATAAAACAAAATATAATCTCTCCAAAACAAAACAGACAAAATAAAAAATACCATTCAAGTAAGCTGGTTTGTAAAATAAAATATATAGTATATATAAAAACAATTTATTCAGAACAATGAAAACAGTGCATAACAAGTGACAATGCTTAAAACAAAATAACAACAGCAACAAAACAAAAACAAAAAACCTCACAAGGAAATAATAGAATTAATATAAGGGAGCAAAAAGAACGGTACAGGAATTTCTTTTTAAAAAAAACCCTGCATATGCTATTCAGTACCATGGTCAGCGCCAACAGTTAGTACTCTTGTAGCATCTCAGACAGCAACATTTTATTCTAATGAGCGATCTTACTTATTTACTCGTGTTTGTAGATATGTAACCAGTTTGTAAACACCGTACATTCACATATGTCCAGATGTGTGGCAGTAGAAGCATGCTCACAGGATAATTGCTAAAGTGAGTTTTTTACATAGTAGGAGGACAATTTGAAATAAAACTTTATAACTTTTCTGCACTCGAATAATGAATTATTCATTTTAATTATGCAAAAGGTAGCTGCATGAGAATGCCTATGACCAGATCTTCACATTCAAAATTCATTGCTTATTATTGCTTATTATTGCCCCAAGGAGATGAGGGATAAGCTATTTGGCCTTTGTTGTTAGTACTTTTCTTAATTCAGTGTAAATTCACTGCATTGTTTTAGGTCAAAGCCTTTTTTTGTTCAAATTCTGTTGAACTGAAATGGTGGTAACTATTGTGTAATTTCTTTAGGTTGGGGAAAGTTTGCTCGTTTGACACGTGCACTAACAAGTAGCCGAGGAGTCCTGCAGCAGCTTGCCCCCAGTGTGCAGAAAGGAGAGAATGTTCACAAGCACTCCCGTCTAGCAGAGGTAAAGTCTGGGTTTCATGTTTCTACTCCATCTGAATGTTATGAATGTTGTGATAACTTAAAGAGCATCCACTCTGTTGGAACCAATAGCTTCCATTCAGAAGTGCTATCTGCTGTTGGGGAATCAGCTGAGAGTTAACATTGCGAATCAAGGAGATTTAAAGGTCCATGGTCCCATAACACGGATCCAATCGTGAACTGCCTGTTAAAGGCAAGATGAACAGTTTTACACTTTACCTTGGAGCTTCAGTTGGAGCTGGGCTGCTTTGGAAGACAGGTTTGAATTCTGGGGCTCTCTAAATCAGGAGTTGCCAACCCTTTGGACCTCAGGGACCACCAAACTCATAATTTTAAATCCCGCAGACCAGAGCCCCTTGGAAAATCCCCCCAAAAGTCTGCAGGAAAATTTCCCACCCTGTTTTCCTACCGATCAATCATTCTTTATTTGGGATTGCAGGATACCTTCTCCAGCTCCGTTCTAGGGGAGAGAGAGAGAGAGAGAGAGAGAGAGAGAGAGACTTTTTGGCTTCATCCAAGGAAAGCAGCAGAAGCAGCAGAAGTCTTTCTTTCTCTCCCCCAAACTCTGCCAGAAATGAGTCTTTGCTGGCACAGCCTCTTGGAGCAGGATGCCTTGCACAATCCCAAAGACTCATTTCTGGGTGAATTTGGGGGAGAAAAATAAATATTTTTGCTGCTTTCCTTGCATGCAGCCAAAAGCAGAAGAAGAAAGAAACAGAAAGAAGCAGCCCAGTGGCCAGGTGAGGTGTGTGGGGCAAGTTCCCCCCTCCACCCTTTCGCCTCTCCCCTCACTACCTCATGTTGTTTGCAATGCAAGGGATGCTAGCCTTGTGTTCCCACAGGCCATGTGGGCAGCACAGCCTTGTGTTCCTGCACAGCCTGGATTAATTGTTTTGGGGGTACTTTGGGGTGACATTTCTCTGCAGGTCACCAAAAATTTCTCATGGACCACCACTGGTCCCCGGTCCACTGTTGGCGACCACTGGTCTAAATGATACTAAGCCCTCTGTAACTAAGAAATATTTTTTCCCCTCTCCAGCTTAAGACTCGGTTGATTGTCTTTTTCTTCTATACCAGTTTGGAGCTGAAGATGAGAGTGGGCAGCTGTCTCTTACCATAGATTTAGGCTGCGTCCCAATGTTCAGTACCCCCTGGTTCATTAAACTGATATTTTAAAATGCTTCAATAAAAGAACTGCTTAAACTTATTCAGTGAATAAAAACAATTCAGATACAAATTGGATGCTCTTATACAGTAATTCAAACATATTGGTGTATTAATCAATGCATTCAATAGGAGTGTAATTTAAAGTAACAGATCATGTGCCCCACATGCGATTTGCACTATAAGAGTGAAAGAAGCCTACTGTAAAAAATCTAGATTTAAATTTAGTTTTGCCATGTACAAATGCTGCTGTTTCCACCATTGAACTCACATATTAACCTTTGGATTACCTGATAGAGAATACAATTGAATCAAAATTTCACAGGTAGGTACAATTCCCTGTTAGGCCAGAATATTACATTTATGAGGCTGTAGTGGTATTCCATTGCCTTCCTTTTTATTATCAAATGAAGAGGCAAGCTGCACTGATTCTTCCTATAAAAGCTGTTTTATGTACAATCTTCCACAGCTAATCTCTTTCTACATACTTGTTTTTTTTCCAACACTGGAAGCAGGTTATACAATTTTTGCATGCAGAATCTCTATCCTGTCTTTGTAGACTCCTTTCAAAATCCTAGTAGTGCCCTACTGATTAGTTCTGTGCCAAGACTGTTAATCACTGGAATTACAGTTGAGATGGGAGTTATCATTCTTTTTGCTTCATTCCTAGTTATTCCCTGTGCAGTTTTATTTCTTGTTATTTTGGATTCATTCTGCCTAAGCTTGTGAACTGAGACTGGATTGTGTTATAGCATAAACTGTGTTATGAGCTGTATTTGGGGCACTTAACAGAAATATGATACTGCCATTTTGTGTGGGAGAACATATAGGCTGTCTTCCCTGATGTCATCTTGGCATTCTGTTTTTGGCATATGTTAATTGATGTTTCCTGTTTTGGAAAAATGTGGGTGTTATTTAGTGAGCAACTTATGAATAACAGATTTTTTGGGGGTATTGCAACATTGCCTCCCCTTCCCCATGATGCTTCAGCTATGCTTTTCATGCTATTACTAGAAAAAAAATTCAGACAAAACAGTAGCCTACTTAGCTGGAAAAATTGATTAACATGGCTACAATATTTCTTTGCCTGAAATTGGTGATATATATAGCATAGCTTTTAATAAACATAGAATTCCCTTACATGCAAACTTGGGCATGTATATGGGTTTTGGAACTGGGCTTATTTGCTTAGTTCAATCTGAATGCAGTAAGTGTTAAGATCTGCTGTAAATTGTTTTTGTATGTGACACCTCACTTGAAGGGGCCTTTTGGTTTTTGTTTGACAACTATGTACTAACTGGTGGTGCATCTGACAAGACTTCATATGAAATTAAATTAGGACATCTGGTGAGTTACTTATAAACAATAAAGGTCAAGATTATGTTTCTGCACATATTAATTGCCAGTTAAATATTGCACTCATTATTTCAACACCACTGAGCCAAATTCTATTAGAATTCATCAGGAATCAACAGATGTTGCAAAGAAAACCCAATGGGGAAGAGGGAATCAAAAGAAATATGATTAATAACAGTAATAGCAATAATAATAATATGTATCCATCTTGCAATTCCCTTTTTCGGAGAAAAGAAATTTATGTAAAATACAGAAATGAAATAAGATATAGTAAGCAAAAGAAAGGCATATAAATAAATTTAGTTTATAATTATTATACTATAATCTAGTTTACATCATTCAGTATGTTTCTCCATACTTTTTTGTCCTTCAAATCTTCTTTGATTTTACTAGATTCATTTCTTACCTTTGCCTTCAAATTTCCCACTTTTCTTTTATTTGCAAATCTCATCAACTTTATCCATCCATAATTTTCCCAATGATTCCCTTTTCCTTGATGCTATTCACTCTCCCTTCATATTTTTGTTTTGCAGCTTGATCCTTGTTCATACTTTTTATATGGTCTAACTAAGTCAACTACTTCTTTCCATCTGGTTGTTCACATTTCTATTTAATCCATATTCATTCCATACTCAGTCATCCTTAACTCTTTCTCTTTTTGTTTTCTCATACCCACTGCTTAAGTTACTCTTTCCCATTGTTTCCATAACCCTGAATTAAGGTCCAACTTCAGACCAGACGTATCTAGCTTCTACCACCTTTGTAAGACCAAATTTCTTTATTAGTAATCATTTTTTTTGCCTTGCCTTTAATGTATCTGTTTCTTCTTTCGTTCTTGTTAAAAAGTAGCATCCAAACTGGAGAGAGAATGATTTATACATGCTAATGTAATTTTTTAAAAAGTTTTGCAAACTGCTCTGCAATTTTTTCTAAAAAAGATTTTTTCCTTAAATCAAGCTTAATTCCTGATTTCTTCATGGACACATCTATCCATTGTTTTTGGTAACAGAGCTTATAGTATTTATATTTAATCTTCTATCCAAGCACTACGTGAGAACAATTCTGCTTAGCTTCCAAGTCCAAATAGATTAGCCAGGTGCTATTACCTACTCAGGTCCTATTAACATACTTTGGAAATGACTTGGAAGAAGTACTTCAGACCTCACAAAGATGTGAACACTTCTTCTCTAGCCATCAAAGCCACCCATTTTTTCTGGCTTTTAAGCAAGTTTTATTCAACTCCTTAAAGCAGCAACAGCATCTATTTTAAAGATTATGCAGAAACCTGAACAAAATAGTGTTTTGTAATGAATAGCAAAGAAGTGCTGTGCCTGTGTGAAGTCCAAATAATTTTCAAACAGTGTACATTTTCAAGCAGTGTGCAATTCAGCAACAGTGTATCATGTTGCTCAATTGGGCCATCTGGCAATATTCTGTCATAGAAACTTTCAGATGCAGAGCTGTCTTTCTTACAGATTTTATTTAAATTCACTCCTACTTGGATTCAAGTTCATGTATTCATATTTGTGGGAAAATGAAATACATCCATACATGACTTGCTACGCTTTATAGTTCAGCTTGTAAAAAGAATGCTAATATAAGAATAACGCCCACACATAGAATTGGAAAATACACTATAAATCTATTTGTAATAGATTTATGAAATTCAGTGTAACCTTCAATAGATGGCTGCCAACATTCCCAGGAACAAGAAGGAACCCTACTTGCATTGCTATACCCGTTCATGTTTCATTATTTTGGACAGTTTTAATTATTATTGTTTAATGATATGATTTTTTCAGAATTAATACAACAATACCCAGTATACAAAAAGCCAGAAATATATAACCAACATCTTGGTTCTTCTTCTTTTGAAATACATTTAGTATTGTTCTGGATTTTAAATGCAAAAGAGGATGCTTCCTGAAACAGCTGCACTGAATCAAAGCAGGCCTGGGAAACGGCAACCAATGTTCATGCCCCAAATCTTAGGTTGTATGTTAGTATGCAATTTCCACACAAACCACATCCCCATGACCTAATGCCACTAACAGGCAGTGAGGCCCAGGTTGAAGAAGAAATTGTCATTCCTGCTTCGGTGGATACTTCTGGTGTAGCTGCCATGAACAAGGGGGATGTGGGGGACATCCTCTGGCTCTTTTTTAAATCAGATATCAATAGAACTGGGCAAACTGCTGAGTCTACCTGGTGACTCAGATACCTCTGTCTCTTCTCTGAGGCAGAGAAGGCCCATTTCCTGTGACCTGCCAAATTTAATTCTCTGGAGAACCACAGTATACTGTCTCTGTCAAATTTAATAGGATGGGGCAGATGAAATAGGGAAGAGGCAGTCTCTCAGATAACCCAGCCCCATGCCATGAAGGTCATCTCAAAGGACTGACAGTCCAACTGTTTTTTCCTCAAAATATATCTCTTTCTCACTGTGACATATAGGTGTTCCCTGTGTTGTGACCTAGGTGCATTGCCCAATAGGGATTTATGAGAGGATACAGACTTTAATGTATGTGTTTATATATACATAGATAATATCAAGGTTAGATATTAGTTTCGACACATGTTCCTGCATTCTTATTTTGATTTTCTCCCTCCTGTAAACTGCCTGGAGTTGCTCAACTAAATGGCATAGATACGTTGGAGGTAATTAGGTAAGTAACTAATATATAAATAGCTTCCCATAGGTTCTAGTCCTCTAAAGATATTTGAACAGCGCATTTCACTGGCTTAAAAATAGCAGTGCTGATGATATATCAGGAAAATCTTAAAGGGAAAGTAACTTTTTAGGAAAAATGGTCCATGTAAGTTAATATGAAAATGTTTTGGGTTTTAGATTTCAATTGAAAATTGAGTTTACTCTTTATTTATTTATCTTCCCCCACCCCCCAATTTCTATAGGTCTTGCAGTTGGGCTCTGAAATCCTCCCGCAATACAAGCAAGAAGCACCAAAGACCCCACCACATATCATTTTACATTATTGTGTTTTCAAGACTACTTGGGATTGGGTGATTCTGATTTTAACTTTCTACACTGCAATTTTAGTCCCTTACAACGTCTCATTTAAAACCAAACAGAACAATGTGGCCTGGCTGGTAGTGGACAGCATTGTAGATGTCATTTTTCTAGTAGACATTGTGCTTAATTTTCACACCACATTTGTTGGGCCTGCTGGAGAGGTGATCTCTGATCCAAAGCTGATCCGCATGAATTACTTGAAGACCTGGTTTGTAATTGACCTTCTCTCCTGTTTGCCATATGATGTGATCAATGCATTTGAGAACGTTGATGAGGTGAGTCTATAAATTCTGTTTTAATGTTATTTTAAACCATGATCCAAAACAAAATGAAAAGAAACCAGTTTTCTGGATTTATACCAGCTGTTCTTTGTTCACATATATGCTTACATTAATTCTTTTTTGCCATCCTATACTACAACTATAAATTTATAAGAACTTCAAATATAATCTATGTTTCACGTGAAATTTATTTTTAGGCTCAATTGTTTTCTTTAGGTATTTTGAAATAAAGTTGTAAGCTATATAGGCAACTTGAAACTCATACGTAGGTGAAAGAATATGGGAATGGTTATGGTGCAAGGGGGTATCATCCCTTTTGCTAGAATGTGATTGAAAAAGGAAACCTTTGCATGTGTGTGTGTATGTGTGTGTGTATGTTTGTCAGGTCTTAAAAATAAGATTAAAAACTATTAGTCTATAAACTAATAAAGAAGAGGAAAAAAATAACCCCAAAGAAGGCTAAAAGTGAGCAGTTTTTTTTCTGTTTTCCTTTCAATGTTAAATTCGACTTTGAATTATTTTAGTGTTTGTAATATTGATATCCTAAATTGTAATTAATATTGGTAGAATATTTTTTCTATATTTTCTATATTTTCAAAACCCTTAAGCTACCTGAATAAGAGAATGCCAGTTATCTTTGTATGACTGTATTGATATGTTACAGTGTATCAAAATTTATAATAACTTAGTAAAAAGGATATATAAAAAAGAATTTTTAAAAATCTATCCTGGAGCTCTCCAGAGATTGTTGAAGGTGTGGGAGGCCTGGAATGAGTGAAAGTCTGTAGAATATTTTCAATTTCACCCATTATGACTAAAATATATTTTTGTATCGTATGTCCAACATGTGCTAACTAATTTATAGCTTTTTTGCAATTGGCTAATCCTCCCACCAAATTATTTAAGTAATATTAAATAATCTTTTCTATTAGCCTATAATATTTGTTCTTGTTCTTAAAATTCTTAAAATTCTAACAATATATTATATAACCTTTCTGAACATAGTTTGAATAATTTATCAATATATTTAAAGGTATTTATGTTTTGGCTCTAAGAATCTTGTTTAAATAGGGTAATGATAGTGGTCTCCTGTTTGAAGGTGTGGACTAGAAGACCTCCAAGGTCCCCCCCAGCTCCATTCTGATTGAAAAATATTATTTAAGCTAAAATTTAAATACTTCAGAATACTACTGGGTCAGGTTCATAAATTCTATGCTTTTGTTGCCTTTCAATATTCTTTCTGTTTATCCTGCTTCTAAACATTCTTGTCACAATACTTTGTGCTCCTACGGATAAGGCGAGTTGCATTTAAACTTACAAAAAGTGGCATGTTAAAAATTTGAGACAATAAAAGAAAAAAACAATAAAAGAAAATCTTGGTTTGCTATCAAATGAGTAGCTTTCAAAAAATCTTCCAGGAAATCAGGAAATGCTGAAATAAGCTCTGGAAACATCACCAATTCAGCTTTGGTAATTTAATGGAGCACAAAGTCTATAAGCTCTCTACATGAAAAGAAAAAAATCCAGAATAGTCTTTATCGATCTCAATGAAGACAACTACAGAAGTTTTATTTTTTAAATGTATCATCTCTTCCAATCTACCTGCATACTGCTCAGCTAATGCCCAAGACTATACAGTGAGAATATTAAAATCACTGCATCAAACATATAAACATAGTGCTTGAAAGATACTGTATGGCTGATGATGTTTAGGACACATATCCTAAAATTAGATTCAGCAGAAAACTAACAAAAACCGTGATAGTTACCTGGGAAGCATAAAACCTTGATAAACAGAGTTCATTATACCTCTGCCACTGATAACAGAAGTTATCAGAACAAGCTGAATGAGAATGTAAAATGGCTAGATCAATGCTAGATGTCCTCAGGCCAAGTCAGAACATGTTTGTGTTCTTAAGTCCTCTACTAGAGGGGAAAATTAAATGTCTAACTCTTCCCATAGGATGCATCCTTATGGAAGCTTCAACAAAAAAATGTAACCCTGGGAAAACAAAACACAATTGCTGTAGCTACATAATGTGTATCTGAAGCACTAAAGAGCTGTGGCTGTTCAGGAATATGTTTGGGGGTGTGGAAGATCAGTGTTTCTTGATGATGCAATTATGTTCATGTAGTTTTATAGTAGTTTCTTTTGGGGTTGATCATGCTTTTTATTCAAAGCTAATTGCAGATGTAGCTGCTCAGAGATTTTGGGAATTGGCTGGTGTAGTAGCTGTAGTAAATGAATAAATGTGTTGAAACAAATAAATCATTATATGGCATATTGGAATAGTCTAGTACATAGAACTAAACCATGGTAATATTTCCCATGACATGTTAAACCACAGATTAGATTAACTGGTTGTTTGAATTCAGGCTTGTTTGAATTCAAGTATATAACTAGTGTGGACCGTAAAAAAGACTCAAGTTGCCATAATCCACTCCAATGCTTGGAAGGAAATATTACTCTGAAAGATGTAGAAAATTGCAGATTAAAAAAAAACACAGATTTCAGTCTTTTAAAGGGTATGGCAGAAGTCCTGAGGAGAATTTTCTGTGGAAAAATGATTGGAAGAGCAGCTGTTCAAATCCTGCATTCAATGTTTGTGCATTCATGTGGGATGAAAGCAGTGAATGTATTATTTTGAATTTTTGAACAGATTTTGCTACTCCCAGTTTCTTCTTCCTAGAAGCTTCCTGTTCCAGTTCCTGTACAATTGCTAGAACCAGTGCCAGCAGACTTTTGAGACAAAATAATCATATAATTGAATTAAAAATATGGCTTATTGGCAAGTAAGTGGGGAGAGGAGAAAAATGTCCTTAAAAAATAAATCTGGAGGCTGCTTCTTTTAGCTGTATTATGTAATACTTTTATGTTACAAAAAATAAGATAGAATATAATATGACTAGAGGTAGAACTGAAATGGTTTCAATCATACTAATCAAATGAGCTAAGGACCTTAAAATCACACTCTGTTCCTTTTGGCTTTTTTCTTTTGTATTGTAAGGGAACAGCAGGTGTAAGCTGAGTAGTTTGGGTATAATCATTCCCTACTCAGAATGGATGTTAGTACAATCTTTGCCAACTGCCTTGTTTTTAGAAATGCTTCACTATTTATAAAGTCTGCAAGAATACTGGAATAATAAAGCCTATGGGATGTGTGTATGTGTGTGTGGGAGAGACCTTACGAGTTATTATATATTATGTAATTTGCAAACTTGGCCTCATTATCCAGAACAATGAGTCCAGCACTCGGAAAGGTTGATGCTCAGTAAGACTGATCCCTGTTGAGAGGATCTTTTTTCCTACTTTCTTGGTAGCATACAGTTCAGTCAGAAAAATGAGCACTATACCTGGCTACAATGATTCATCACTTTTGAGACAGTTGAGGCCCTGTTGAGCACTGTAAAAAGCTGTACCTATTAAAGGGACAGTTCTTTCAAATTCTTATCTAGAATGGTATGGGGTATGCTGCTTGTGTAGTGGGTTGGACTAGAAGACAACTCTGTTATTCTGTTAAATGTGCCCCATTAACCTGAGAAGTGTCCTCAGCTTACTTCTGTAAGGATCTTTGAGTTGCTGACCTGAAAAATTACAATTCTTTGTGTAGGCATTCAACAGGCAGTCATGGCATCTAGCCTAGTTGATTCACACATTGGCCATTCATGCCAGGTGAAGGCTGCAGAACATGTGTTTGCAGCCTTCTTTTACATAGCTCATCTTTTTTCCAACCTTACACTAACTGCACATTAATTCACTTAGACATGGCTTAGCTGCCTTCACATCCCTTCTCTATCCAGTGCAGTACCTGCCTCCTGGTTGTTGAATTTCTTGGTTATGTCACATGGGATACGTCCTAAGTATAACTACATCTGGATTGAGCCAAGATGTAATTTTAAAATTGTAGTTTTCCTTTATTTGTCCTGGCATGAGCAACACTATTTGTTGGCCTGCTGAAGTTGCTAAATTGAGCATCATCTTTCATTCTTATTAGACTTAGTGGCAGATAACATTTTCTTGCCCAGACAAATCAGAGAAATAATAACGGACTCAGAAGGATTATTAATTCATTTATAAACTTCCTCAAATGTGGAAGCAACTCTGGATGAAATACCATGCTGTTCTCATTACAGCAGAAGGAAACAATGGATATGATTCCATGCTCACTTAAACAAATAATTTAGAACATTAATGGCTTATAGATTAGGGATGGTTTTTGTGTGGCTAGTGTAAGCATCTGGTGTTGACTGAGAAAATTGGTTAAATCCAATAGTTTAAATTAAGTACATTGAGTAAATACTACTGATTGCATTTACTATTTCTTCATTAATTGATATGATTCCTTTCCCTTGAAAGAATATGCTTGTCATGATTAACCACATGGTGGAATAAAGGTAAGCAGCCTATATAACTTTTACAGACTGTTTAAAGATGAATAAATTAAGGATTAAAATTATATCCTGGGGATAATACTATACAGTATATGGTAACATCAGTTGTCAAAGAAGTGCAGTTGATCTTGTTAAGTTGTATATTATTGTACTTTGAAAACTCACTTCCAAAGCAGCACTTTATACAACTAAGAGACTGATCTATGCCTTCTTGTTGTGACATTGAATCAACCACAATGATCTGAGAGCCTACTGTGTAGCACACATAAGCCACTGTACCTATAGCACTGATCCAGAAATGGACAGTGTTTGCCTCTGGATTGAGGAAAACATAAAATTTTTGGGAACTGCAAAGGAAGGCTTATAGTTTTAGTAACTGGGTAGCCAATCTTGTATTATAGCTCAGGTCAGTGAAAACAAATCCTCAGAAAAACAACATAACTGAAAAGTTTAAAACAAACCTATGAAAAGTCATTTACAATTTTGCTTATAAATATGATGGGAATCTAGCAACTGACCAAATACAGTATCAATAAATAAGTAGGCTATTGGCTTCCAAGATTTGCAGCAAATCATTACATAATTATCTTTGAAACGATAAT